TTCTAATATGCTCCAGTTCAATGGTAGCTCTTAGGCTATTCTGCTGTTACTCTAATAAGTGTAAAATTCATTTTCAGATTTTGTTCCTGGAATTCAAACACAGCAAAGCCAAATACTTTGCTCCTTAGCAGGCATATCCATGACTTCAGATTTTTTTGGCAATCATTAATAGAAAATAATTCCGCAGAATGAGTTCAAAAATCATATGGTGATGGCATCTCCTAGGTTCCAATTCCTACTGCAAGCCAGAGCAATGGAATATGGGAAGACGAATGCTATACGACGGCATGCATGCTTAAAAACACACACAAAGTACATATAAATTATATGCTGGGATATAAGTCTCAATTGTCACAGTTTCAGTTTGCTCTATCCTCTATTTTTGCCCTTCACACTTTACCATTGCTTTTCCATATGTCCGTATGTCCTTCAATTTGATCCCCTTTCACTCTTCTGAGTTTTTTTGTCATCCCATGCACACTACATCCATTCAACAAAATTAGTTCTTCTCGTATTTGATTGGCAGAGGTAACTCAAGCAGATTTCAGAACCACGCTCACACTTTCTTACATTGTGGATAGTATTGCTGTACTTAATGAGAAAACTACACAAATTGAGCAACCTGAGAATTTTAAGCATGGCAGCTTTCTTCTTTTCCACATATAACATACAGCATGCATTTCCAATAATATACCCATGTACACACAACATGTAATACATATTAGATATCACAAAGTGTAAATTCCTATTATTTTTGGATAAAAGTGAATAACTAATAAAGTCACTGGCCGTCCATACTAGTATCTGAGAAAGACAAAAGGGCATCCACATTAGAAAGGACATTAGAATCAGATATTGAGAAGACAGAGCTCCATCTGGGAAATAAAAAGTCATGAGAAATTCAGACAACAAGGAACTGAGAGAATCATTCCTAGAGAAAAAGGTTGGTATTTAGATGGAACTGCAAATTACCATTCTCTGAAACTATAGGAAGGGTGCATGCTCTGTTTCAGGGGAATTATATCTGACAGTGCTGTCATGTACAGAATTGACACAATATTAACATTTTCCATCAATTCCACAATTCTGCAGGGGAAACATAAAATAATGTAGTTTGTTACTATCTGTATTTCTATGGTCTCCACTGTACCTTCAGTACTGGCCAGAGAAAATCACATCCTCAAGGACCTAAAGTAACTTTGAAAAATTATCTTCAAGTCCTATACTACCGGGTACTTTCTAAAAATCATTTTAACACATGCACTTTATTTAACACATGCAGGTTAAGCACTCAGTGGTTTTAAATTTTTAATTCATTTCTTTTACAAAAAAGATCAAGAATTTTTTTTTTTTTTTGGAATGTACATGGAATGCCATGGTGAAAATGGACTTTGTTAGGAATAAATGGCTCGGGAAGCATCAATCACTTCTGTGTTTTCCCTTGCTGATGTATGCAAGACAGACTAGAGACTGACATGTTTCTCAGATGGGATGTCTGTTAGGTGATGATGCTGGCTGCCTCATTATTTCGACTAGGATATTCTGTAACATGTTTTCCTTGTTCTGCAGCCATAGCGTGGAAGCAGAGAAAAATGCCTCAAGTAGCAAGTAGAGGCATATAATGTATTTAATTGGTATGTGGAGTACCTATCAATTCACTAAAATAATAAACCATACTCCTGACACAGTTTCATTCATAGACAGATCAGCAAATGGGAGATTTTTCTATCAATATTCACTACGCAACCTTCATTTTCGCACTGAAAATGAGAAAGTGCAATGAAAATGAGAACTATTCCTACCTTTATAGTGAGTGTTGTCTTCCTTTTCATCGTTTGCTTACCTGATGATTCCTGTTTAATTACCATGCTTCCACAAAACTTAACAAGCATTCTCTCCAAAACTTTTAACATCACGTACCAACATACAGCCATTGCAAGAACAGTGATTCGAGAAGAATGCGAAATCAACAATGAGTGCAAATTAATGAAGCACTTTATCACTTTTCCCACTGAAGAGATTTTCCCAGTTCAAACCCCAAGGCATGAAATTCAAGTTTGACACTGTCACAGTTGGATTAAATTTTTTAGATGGTTGACTGGAAAAGAGGGATCTGATCAATAGTCAGACAGAAATGTAACCTCGCAGTTAATTGAGCAAGGGTGAAGAGATGGGAGTAATTTGTTCTTTTTTACAAATGAAGCAATAATTTTCACAAATGTGAAATTCCAAGATTTACACACTTTTTCAGAAGGGCTTCCTTTCAAATAATTGATATAGAAAAATCAAGTTCTGGGAAAAGCTGCAAAGATATGCATGTGAAATATTTTTAATGAAGAGTACGTGAAAAAGCTTCATATACATTTTAAAACTATTATCATCACAGCTCAATCCTTCACAATATTTGTAGTGTTTAAATAAATTTATTCTACTTCAAAACTTTAAAAATGAATTCTATGCACTGTAGCCTTCTAATACATATTTGATCCGTGTGGCTCCATATCAAGGCTCCTGGTCAGTAAAGGATGTTTTCTTCTTTCTGCTAGAGAATGACTCTGCCCTGTGCACTGCCCTCTGTTGTGGAAATGGGAGTTGTTGCAGAGATAGCAGAAAAGAAAATTACTGGGGCAGATACAGAGAAACAAAATGTTGTTTAAATGACAAAAAGCTACCAATTTCTTCCCTCTCCTCCCTCTCCCCCCCTTTTTTTTGAGAGAGACAGGGAGATAAGATGGATGGAAGGCAGAAGGTAAGCTTTAGGGGATTTTATTCTCTGCCTTCAAATTTACAGAAAATTTATTATATATTATTCTTTGAGTCAGGATCAAGAATCATCTGCTCTGAGCTGATAAATATTTGTGAGCAGGTCAGCCTGCATGGCAGCCATCTCACAGATCTCAACATGCTCAAAACCTTTAGCAGAAACATTATCTGCAGGAGGAACACCATCTCTGAGCAAGTTTTTCACTAACCAGAATCGCAAAAGCATACGTAGATTTGGCTACAGTGCAAACTACTTGGAAAAAGAATCTTACTGAAAACGTTTCCTTCATGAAGTTAATGATAAATTGTGAAAGACATTTCCTGTTCTCTTGTACGCTCTAAGACTTTGCTTTGCATATAAACTCAATTACATGCCCTGGAAAGTTCTCCCCACAACATCATGAAACAATGACATGATTATTATTAGAAGAAAGTCACCAACGACAAACAGGCACACAAGAAACACCCACATGCAGAGACTATGCAAGCAAGGGAGAAGGGGTGTGCCCCAGTTTCACGATGCACGCAGCAGTGAGAGGGAAGAGTGACTGTTGGAAACTTTTCTAATGGCAAGTGAAGTTGATTCTCACCGTTCTGAACAAAATGGCTGAGCTAAGAGCATCTGACTGGTTATGCCCAAATACCCTCCTCCTCATCCTAGCGGTGCACAGGTGGCAATGGGAGAAAAGACCCAGAGCAGCATGGGAATGAAATAAAGAGTTGGTTAGTATTTAAAGCACATATGTAAGTACAAATAGTAGCAAAAAGTGTGGTTTTAATCCCTTATGGAATACTCAGGGTTACCTTGAGTTACAGCTTCCTTTGCTCTCTTGTAGGCTTTGCTAGCTTCTAAAATGCCCCTCCACAAAGGGAAGGTGCAGTTGGACTCTTCTCCTGCCTTCTCCCTGCCACCCTCCCCTTGAAGTCTTTGCAAGAAAATCCTTAAATATTTAAATTTAATCTTTTCGTTTCATCTGTGAATACTATCCTGCATTCAGTCACAAACATGTACTACAATTACACTGTAGAAATGGTTTCATTTCACTACATACTTGCAATGCAGATATGACAGATATCATAGAGTTTCCTCCAAAATAAATTTGGAAAAGCAATTTAATACGCAGCCTTGACAATTCTGCTCTCCTGAAGAAGCTAAAACCAACGTTTTCCAAAAGCACACCAGGAAATTAAAGACATTCAATTTACAGTTCTTTCCATACTATCTGGAGAATGGTATTAAAACAAGATGCAGAAGGAAGCTGCTTTGAAAAGGAGAATTTTTCTGATCATTTCTTTGCTTTTATCCCTTGTTATTTTCTAATAGAGACAAAGAAAAAAATAACTATTTATTTTTGCAAAGTGAATATTGTGTTTTGTGTTTGCTTTCCCACTTTCCTCTTGTACATTACTCAATTTCGGCATTTCACAAGGTTGGTGTTTAAAGGTCTAGAGTGAGACGCCTTCCCTCAGATCTCAATAATTTCTAGATCAGCCAGAGGGTGAAGAGGAGTGCCAAACATTCTTTCACTTTGTCAAGGCAGTGATTAATGATCACTAATATTTTAATTAAATTGGAATGGATGAGATTACAACTAGGGATATGCAATTACGTTGGCATTTTCTGTGTTACCCGAGGGACAGGTAATCTTTCTGATAGTTATCAAACACACAGCTGTGCTTTGTAAGTGACACAAGAGGCTCCTCGCTGCCTTGGAGATGGTAAATTGATTTTCCTCCAGTTCATGGCCCATTGAGTCTGTGAGGGAGCAGCCTCTGCTCATTTGGCACACAGGCCAGGATTTCCTCATGGGAAGTGAAGGGAACTGCTCATATGCAATGCATAGATCAGAAAACTGATCCTGGAGCATGATTTCCTGCTACTGAAGACAAGGAACAGTTCTTGGCACTCCACACATTCAAGCAGCAAACCACGAGTTACCAAAACGTGAACATGCTACACAGGACTCTCGTCTTGTATTTCAAGGCAAGCAACATTTCTTGCTGTCTCCTCCTCACCCACTTAATAATAGCTTGGTACCAGGAACTTTTTTCACACTTAGGGAGTTTTCAAGGAAGGTGACACAACAGCAACATCAATTTCTGTTTCATAACTGCATTGTGGAATGCTATTTTTGTTCCAAGGTACTGTAAGCATGTCAGGGAAAATAACATACAACTCAAAATAATCAGCCTCCATCGTCAAATTACTTTACAAGAGAAAAAGAGAGAGACTTTACCTGGTCTGGGGAGGGCTTGTGGTTGGTTTGGTTGGAATGGGATGAGGATTTGAGGTGATCATCCTCATAGTTGTCAGCCATCAGCTTCATACGGTTCTGTGTCTATTCAAGAAAAGAAGAATTTCAGACTAACTTTAAAGGGGTCAGAGGGACTAAAGAGAATAGGCTATTTATGCTGCTCACTATATCCAAAATCCATACTCGGAAAAAAACATAAGATATGCCCATAAAACATACATAGGTATTAATACAGAAAAATGAAGACACATTAAAATCACTACGCTGTGAAGCTAGGTTAATTTTGCAGTTAACTGGCTCATCTGGCCTGTACCTACTAAAACAGGTGCTGTATACACGTGTAGGAAGAAACTAATTTCTTTTTAAAGAACCTTGAGATGAAGATTCAGATATAGCAATTTGGAGAACGATTCAATGGAAACATCAGATAGATGAGATTAAGTAATTTTAAAGAGAGAAATCTGTTTTTAAAAGAAGAGCAAATGATAATAGTAGGAATGCTGAATATTGATTATTAAAAACAACAATAAAAACACATTCAGTCTAAAAATCAGTTCTCCATTGATATATCAAAGATACAAAAATCCTCAGACTGGTCAGAAAAATCTGAATAACAGAAAAGGTTTCCTGTGAGGAAATTACAAAGTCAAGAAATTTGTCTTTGGGAAGAAGAGGTGACACAATAGAGATACGTAAAATTACAAACTCTATACAGTCAAGCAAAGGACAAAATATGAAACAAGTTTCTTTGCTTTTCTTAGATTTTCTTCAACTTCTCAGGAAATGTCAAGTTTCAGAGGTTTAAGCAGAAAATATAAAATACATGTGGAATTTTAGACTACCAGATATATTGAAGGTCATTTTTCAACTACGTTTAAACACAAATGAAACTCTGAGGGGCACTCTGAGCTTTTACAAGGACAACTAACAAAGCAAAAGGTTCGCCTGTTCCTCCTTACTTCCAGGCAATAAATTGTTTCAAAAGACAGATAAAAATAAATTGAATATTGCCTTAACATTACCATTCTAGGTCAGCAATTGCAAGGAAGTTTAAAATAGACTATATGGTTGTGTCTGCAAAAGAAAATGTAAGTGACATGGAGCCCTGTTAGCAAACAACTATCCTGAAAGGAGGTTCCTAAATGCCTACAAAAACAAACACACAGAGGAAATAATCCACACAGGCAGAATGTCTCACTTTCCCAGTAGAGCTACAATAGCAATGTAGATAGCAATGACACTCAGTGTGCACCATAAAGGAGACCACGCAGGAGAGCTGGATCTTGGATCTTGCAATGTGAGCCATGTCAGCTGCGACAATGGAGGGCATCTGGGTGCCACAGCCACTAGGCACATATTTTGGGAGCAGAACCAAAATAGAACAATGGCTTTTTCCAGTTTATAAGGTAGGCAAAGCCTCATTTTAAGCTTTGTGAAATTCTTGTACTACAAAACAAATAAACAAGCAAACAAACAAAGAAACAAAACTGCAAAAAAAAGACAAAAAAATGGCTAGCCAGACTTGTATTAGATATGATACACTGTGAATTATGTGCTAGACATATTAAAATCATCAAAGATTTACTAAAATTAAATGTCTTCAACGAAAACTCGAAACTCACTGTAAAAATGCCAGTTGTTGATTCAATCCCTACATAACTGAATGATTTCTCACTGAAAACTATTATTTTAATGAGATTCTCAATGCTAGAGAATGTAGATTTGAACCGCCTGTATTCAGATCATTATAGAGATGGTCCAGGGCTTGAATCTGGATTTGATTTTAGTTTGGATTAATTTAACAAAAGCTAATTGTAAATTGAGCTTAAGCAATAAGCAATTTAATCTTCATATTGTTCTGTTCTGTCAAACAAGGTTTGAATTCCAAGTCTGACTCATCATTCATAAATCACTACTTGAAATGTGCTACATTAATACTCAAACAACCACTTCATTGTAAAGATGCTTTCTCCATATTTATTATTTTATTAAATGTAAGACTGGATCTTCAATCACTTCTTCTTTGCAGGAAGACCTACTGATTTCTTGTAAAATGTTGGCTTTTAAAATAATCTTTCACGTGAATTTCAATTTGTATGTGAACGGATTTACAAAAAAAGCAGAGTTCTAGCAGAATATTAGTACAAACCACAAACTTTTCTGAGAAAAGAAAGTAGCTATTCTGCATGCTTTATCCTACTGCACGTAAAAACCTCTGTATTAGTTCCAATATAAGAAGAAAATGATATAAAGATCTAATCATTTGAAGTACAGCATCTCTTGCAGAAAATTATGAAGTGGCATGGAAGAGGGTGTGTGCATCTGTCCCTTGACTTCAAGTAGCATATCCTACTATTAATAGTCAGCAGGAGGCAATGGGAAGAGGCTAAGAGAATTGGGCCGATTTAACCTGAAAAAGAGGAGGCTTTATTAATTTTGATAGGAGGAAATAGGGAAGATGAAGCTAGTCTTCTTGGATGGAACTGGACAAGAGACAGCAGATACAAATTGCAAAACAGAAAATTCTTGTCAGAAATCAGGAAAAACCTTTTCATAACTGGGATTATCAAACACCAGAACAGGCTGCCAAGAGGTTGTGGCCATCTATATCCTTGGAGATACTCAAAATTCAACTGGATGAAGCCTTGAACAGTCTGCTCTAAACAGACATGTTTTGAGTGGGTGTATGTAAAGGACTACTCCAGTCTAAATTATGCCTTTAATTCTTAGAATTTGGGGTTTTCATTTTCAGATAATTTTTTAGTTGTCGAGGCTGGAGTTTTCAAAAGAGGGGAAAGATGAACTCCAAAATTCCTCCTTGATACACAAATAAACAATTTAGCTGCTTAGCTCCATTACAGCCCTTCGAATATTAAACCCAGAAGAATGTCTCCAGCATCCCAGTAATGAGAAATGTACCAAATCAGTTCACCAGGAAGATGTTTTCTGTGTTGTCCTCTTAATCCAACCTGAGCTTCCACTGTTTTTGCTGTTAGTCTAAGAGTGCATGTTTCTGATACAGAAATCTTGGCAAGAAAACACCAAATTCAGTACTGACATACTTACCCTTGGAATGAGGCAAGAATTAAGAGATGGAAGAAAAGAAGTTTATTTCTTGGTGTATACCACTAATGTGTTTTTCAATAGTAATGTTCCAACCAGTTTCGCAAACCTATTTCTATCATAATAGACAAATGTCTTGTTATGTTTTAATTCTCTATGTCAAATATGGACGAATAATGATTCCGCTTTAATCCTAAAGTGCTACATGAAGAACTTCTGATTGAGAATTTTCAAAACAACTGGAAAAACATGAATAGAGCTTTTTACCTATTGCTTCTCTCCACACACAAAAAAAGTATATTCAAAAGGATGGAAACTTCCAGAGTATTGGCATATGGCTGTTGGAATGGTTTAAAAAGAAACCATTTACTTTACTGTGGGGAACCACTTTGACATCCTGCAGTCCTAAGGCACGTTGTCATGGTGCTATTATACAGTCCTCTCCCACCTTATGAGGTTATGGCTCAGATCCTAAGGCAAACATTTCTACATCATTGTGAAAAAAAAAAAAACAACAAAGTGGTCTAACCACAGTGTCCTGTGAGAAAATAAATGAGCAATGCAGACAAATCACTTGTGTCAGGAGTGCTTTTGTCTAAACCTACAGAGCTTGTAATCAAAACTAGTGATGATAAGAACTGGATGTCAGATCCAAATTTTGCCTAAAAAATACCTTTTGACATTACAGGTACTTTCTTCACCCATGTGCAGATAAATCACTAAAATGAAAAAAAAAAAAAAAGATGAGCTCTCATAACCCAACAGGCTTCTTACTTTTTTTCCAGAAGGTTTCTTTCCTTCTTTTCTTTTTTGACAGATTTCCTAAATTTGTCTTCCAATAACAACAACAACAAAAAAAACAAAAACAAAAAAGTCAACAAACCCCAAACACCAACCAACAAAGCAATGCACCAAAAAGCAAATGGCAACAAATGCACACAGCATACACCTACCTTGCCAAGCCTGCAATAACATCCTTCAGGCTACCAACAAAGTCTCCACAGAACAGTCCTACAAGCCTTTAGACTAGTGTCAATCCTCAAAGCTACTGAAGAACCAACGCACACTTTCAAGCTGCTAACAGAAATCCAGAGAGCTTGGCATGAGAGATCTGCAGACCACAATCTGTGAACCCCAGGTCTGGAGCAAAATATTGGAAAAAAAGCTTTTTCTAGCTATATGTGACAATGCTTGAGCAGAATCAGATCCTGCATATCCTGCATACCACCTTTTTTTTTTCTTTTTTTCTTTTTTTTTTTTTTTCCCCAGAATTTCTGCAATCACTTTTTTTGCTTCTCTGATACATCTGATACATTCCTAACAATCACTCATTATTTAACCTCAGCCTGTGTCCTGTCCCTTACTACAACAGGTGGGTATATTAAAAGTACCATGAGAAAATATGACATAAACTTGTTTTTAATCATAAATAATCATAAATATAATTCATAAATCATAATATATAGTATAAATCATAATATAAATCATAAATGTAAATGCTCAGCTTCAGCACTGCTTTTAAACCATGCTCTTCTGTTGTTTTGTGATTTCACATGCACTGAAACCACATATTGCCCCTACTGTTCTTCTGGTTATTTTATAATTTACTTCTGCCTGTGTTTTATACTGAAAAAAGTTTGGGTAAGCAAGGATATTACCATGAAGTAGACAGGTTCTAATGCAACCAACACCTGAAAACCTTTGTTCCAAATAGCACTTTGTGTAATATTAGCTGCCAAAACTGTAGCCACAGTGAATGCTATTTAAATCTCACTATGTTCCCACCTCATGGATGAACAGCTTCAAGGCAAACTCGCCTGGATATCCTAAGGGTAAGTTCACTGCAAGCTACACTGGTACTTTGTTCACCTACTTCCTAAAGACCAAATGAATAGATTTTGTATTTAGTGAAAAAAATGGACAAGAAGCTGATCCACAAAGTGTAGGGGAAGATCAGCGACGTATCCTGCTGGTAAAACCTAGCAGAGTCCAACCTCTCTTTCTAGTGGAATTCCACATAG